TGACGTGGTTCTCAACCATTTTGCCCCCAAGGAAATATTCCAGGGCCCCCACACTGGACTTTTTGACCTCAGAAAAGCATAAAAGTGGTTCAAAACAGCTTTTGCCATTGTAGTAAATTCTCATTCATAGCAAACATTTGAGAGTGGAGTAACATATCTAAAATCTAAGGAGGGGAATGGTGTTCTACTTGGTTCATAGCACCATTTGACAAAGGTGCCTAAAATCTACATTTTGTCATAATTTCCTCACCCTCATGTCATAACAAACCTGTATAAGTTTCTTTCTTATGTTGAACATAAAAGAAGATATTTTGAAGAATGCTGGTAACAGTTGATGGTCCCCATGGACTTCCATAGTATTTTTCCCCTACTATGGAAGTCAATGGGGACCAACAACTGTTTGGTTCGTCAAAATATCTTCTTTTGTGTTCAACATTAAAAAAAAACGTATACAGGTTTGAGGGTGAGTAAACAAAATGTTCATTTTGGAGTGAACTATTCTTTTAAAGATAGGTGCTATATAGCACTTAAAGTGGTTCCATATGATTACGAGCCAATGAACCACTTTTAGTGCTATTTAGCACCATTTGTGTTTAGAGTGTGTAAAATTAATATGGAAAGCAGAAAGTCTTGGAGAATTCGGTAAAAAGCACAAGCTGACATTGAGATATCTGACTTGTGTTTCCACATATTTGTCAAGATACCATTGAGATGAATCTCTAGAGGAATCTGGAGAGTTGAACAACATATCTAAATTTTGTCTATGTATTTGGAGGGGCTATGGAATCACCTATTTATTTTTATTTATCCAAAAAAAACAAAAACACATCTGATCTCAGACAACACAACCAGGTTGCATTACCGGTGTCACAATGTTGAGTGTATCTGTTTGGCACGTTCTTTCGATGCACCCCTGAGATCTCAATCTTGTGTAAATACCTGGCAAAATGCCACCTAATTTTAAACTCAAAGTTATCCATTATTTCATGAGTAAAGAGAAAAACTTCACACTCAATCAACCATGGCGTCTGTCCTGACATCTCGAAACACCTTCGCTCCCCTCGCCATCATCACACATGGATTTATTTACCACTTTACGCTTAATGTGCTGTCACGTAAAAACCAAAAAAGTGCTTAAAACAGATGGGTGTTTGCACGACAGCACCTAAAGTGAGAAAGAATCGATCGGATCTTATCAAAGTGAGAATATTTGGACAGTCTTGTTGTGTTTGATGTTGTCACTATGGTGCTGGTGGGCCCAAACCGGCCCCCCTTTTTCAGAGTGGACTCTGCCTTTTGTCCCTTTGCCTCTCCGTCTCCACGGTCCTTTGCTCCTCCGCTAATTAATTCATCTGCACATCTCCTTTCCTCAGCCGGCACATTAACCCTGACCACTGGAGCCATCCTCATGGAAAAACGGTCCCTCTCCAAGCATGGAGAGGCACATCGGATTGACCTTTCCACCTCGGCCCCCCTCTCGACCCCTGGCTCCGAGTCTTGTCCCATCTGCATTTCAACACAGTACCAGCGCATATACTCAACCTCCTGCCCCTCACTCACTCACTCACTCTCGCCAGCCATGACACATTGTCAACAGCCCATGGGGGGGGGGGGCTCAAAAACTGCCCTCCTGGGTGCCCTGGCTGCATGCCATCATATCGTTCACTACATTCAGGAATGAAGTTGTGGAAATGCTTGGATGATTTCTGTGTTTAAGGAGAGGGATCAAGCTTGGCACCAATCTGACCTCTCCCTCTATCCCTCCTCGCACACACACAAACTCAGGGAGTGGGACATTTTCATAGGGGGCTTTCAGACCTCCCAGGGCTTTCTGAATGACATTAAAAGTCAGGCACTGATGCACAGTAGCTATGTGACGTATTTGCTAAAACGAGCTCCTTCTCTCTCTGAACCCCTGACCCCGGGACTATTATATGTCTTGCTGGAAAGCAGTCGAGAGCAAGATGTTTTGCTGAAATCAAAGAGGATCAGTGCGGCACCGCAAGGACTGTGTCACTTGTAGATTCTATAAATCATGTCTCGGTGATAAGCTAATTGCCTTATCCTTGACAGCAACTCACTGAGAAAGCAATAAAGGGGCAGGATTACAAGACGTCGAACCATAAAGAGCAGGCCGGCGGTGGAGAAAGAGGGAAGGAGAATGATGAAAGACTGGGAATTGAGAGAAAAGCACAATAGGAAACTAAAGTTAAGAGTAGAACAGCAAAAGAGGATCTTCAAGACTGATGATGTATGAGTGAAGGCATTAAATAATGCTATCAGGATAGTCTAGGATATTCAGGAAGTAACTATTCATGGAATAAAAGTCAAGAGGACAACAACTTTCCATCAAGAGTGTTGCAGCCTCATAAAAGACTATGTGCAGCACCTTTACCCTGTTTTCTGTATAGTATCGCTGACACTGCTGGTCGAAAAGATCTCAATAAACTTAATTACTTCAAAGGTTTGGGGTCTTTAGGATTTTTTTATGTTTTTGATGTCTCTTATACTCACCAAGACTGCATTTATTTGATCGAAAATACAGTAAAACCATTCATATGGTGATTTTTACAATGTTAAGCTTCTATTTTGATATATTTTAAAATGTAATTTATTTCCGTGATGGTAAAACTTAAAATGCTGCTCGTAAGATTTTCCCGTTTATCATAAAATAGTCTTATTATTTTGGAATGTGGAGTGAAAATGAGGAAAAATCACTTGAAATGAACTTCTCTCCACATGAACCACAAAATAGGACCAAATAACTATTAAGAAAATTGAAAAACATAATATGTTGCATTATGGGTATAAGAGGATCTCTCCTCTGTTTAGTGGCGTTTACAGGTCCGGTGTGTAAGTGTTCAGCCTGACTGCCTCAGACATTTCCTGCATTGCTTTGTTAGGCCCCATGGCTGCCACTCAATTTAGAGCAAAGCTATTAGAACAAAGTGCTCTCGGGGGCACAAAGGTAGATTGGGCATGACGTTTAGAAGCTAATCGTCTAAATGTCCCCTGTGCAAGGACAAACTTTGAAGAACAGGGATAATTGATCCAAAATGGAAAGAGTATCTTAAGGAGTTCATGAATGTGTCTTTTAATCTAAATAAAGCTAGATTTTTGTTTTAAATAAAAGCTGTTCTTTTGAACTTTCTATTTTACGTAAAACAATTTTTTTTTTAAATGCATCAGTTTTCACAAAAATAATAAGCAGCATAACTGTTTTCAACACTGATATTAATAAGAAGTGTTTCTTGAGCAGCAAATCAGCATAATGATTTCTGAAAGATCACGTGACACTGAAGACTGGTGTAATGATGCTGAAAATTCAGCTTCGCATCACAAGAATAAATTACATTTTAAAATAGAAAACAATTATTTTAAATTGTAAAAATATTTCACAATATTACGGTCTTAATTGAATCTCTGATCAAATAAAACATTTAAAAATAAATAAATACAAACTATGTGATAATAATTCTGACTGTCTGTATGATGATCTTATTCACTTTCTCTTCTGCCTCAAACAGCATAATTAGCCCCTTTTAATAAAAGAAGTGAGGAAATCATTAACTTTCCTGGGGAAATCCTGTCTGTCTTATCCTTTCCAGCCTACAAATAACACAGGTCCTTCTTGACATCACCATGAAAACTATGTGATCTTGATAAGGACCATGGGGAGTTTTATTAAAAGAGACATCTTCCAACCCCTTCACTTCTTTTGTGGTTTGCAATATTGGATATCAGAAAATGGGACTTTTCCGAACTCAGAACTCAGCTCTCAGAACTTTCACCCCTTCAGTGGGAAAAATCCATATAGGATAAAACCACGTCCATCATCATATTACAGTATGTCTGTTAAATTATATGTGCCATATATATATATATATATATATATATATATATATATATATATATATATATATATATATATATATATATATATATATATATATATATAAACATTGAGTAAGATTAATAAATGCTGTAGAAGTATAGTTCATGTTAACTAAAGTAGTTAACTAATGAACCTTATTGTAAAGTGTTACCCAAGAAATGAACATTGCCAGAACGTGCTGGGATACAGTTAAATACAACATACCGTTTAACCAGCTTTAAGATGCTATCTATCTTACAAGCTTTTACCATTTTAAACAAGGTTTGGTCATCCATACAGCGTTTAGAGTTTGGCAATCTTTCCAAAGTTTAACATGGTCTTCACAAAATTTATTTTATGAAACCAAATGTGAAATCGTCAGAGCCATACATGTGTTTAAGACTTGATTAGCAGGTTCTTAAACGTTAAACTCCCTCACAAGTTTTTATACAACAGCAGGTGTGTTAAAATATCGACGCTCCGTCGCTCACCACTGTAAACCAAGGTTTCCACTCCAGAGACTGTAGGCCGCACCGAGGCGTTTCGCGATGAGAGGGAGCCCTCTAATGTTTAGGCGCTGAAGTAGCAGACAACACGCTGTTAATGGCTGCTGCAGGCCCTGCCAAGAACAACCCAGGCCCACATGAGAAATATGCCGAATGAACAAACACAAAATCTTTCGGTCACACATTTTAATGAATCTGACAGGCCGCTTTTGTCATGGGCGGTACCTGAGTGGGCATATGGCAAACGCTATGTGCAAACTATACAGTCATGATTGTGCACAGAGCAGAACTGTAAAAAGGCAAAAACAGACACATGCAAATTAATTCTACTCATCTGGAACCGCAGACAGGATGACGGCAAAGACATTTGCTGTGCGATCAAACCTTAACTACTTGCATTCAGAAACCTGTTCCGCAGAAGATTACACTAGAAGACGAGCTTGACGGAGTTAGTATGTTGTAATACGTGTTACATATGATGTGTTTTTGCTTTTAAACTTTATTATATGTGCACTTCAATTACATCTAGTCCACTGTATATTCAGACAGACAGTTGAAATAGTCAATATGGGTTCTCTCGAATGCAATACCTCTCAAGCATCAAATGAAAAGAAAATACACATTTAATGCAGAGGTATTTAGACACAAACATTCTTTCTATAACAACAGAATGCTTTAAATCAAACCATACAACCAAATGCACTTCTATCATTACCCAAATACCCCAAAAAATGACATACAGTGCATGGCATTCAATGTATTACAGCACTAAGTCACCAAAAATATATCCATTTATAGCAGACACATGTGCTGGTCAATGCTTCACATTTTCCGACTTTCTTTATATTACATTTGCTTCGTTCCGTTTTTTTTATTTTTACAACATACGTGCTAGGAAAAACCTGCAAGGACCATTAACAAAAACGTGGACCTCTAATGAAAAGCAATTTAACTGCAACATGTACACAAGTAGTATGGGACACGATCCATGCAGTTGTGCACAGCCAGCATAGTCATGGTATGGTCTCGTTTAATATTCGTAGATGACATCAGCGACCAGTGCATCACAGTCTTCATTGGAGATACATTCTACGGTCTGGTTTGGCCTGGACTCAGCCAGACTTGAAGAGGAGAATGGCCACCTGGCCCAAGTAGAAGTAGATGAAGTGTTTCGTCTCATGGGTCACGTAGCTGCCGAAGTTCCTTCCCACAATGCAATGCCACGTAGGATTGTATTTCTTATCGAACTCCTGTAACACGAGACAATGTGGTTTAAGCACGGGAGAAAATGCAAGCACAACAAAAATACAAGTTAGGAGTCTAAAATAACAGTACGGCTCAAATCTCGGCACGACTCACCTTTTTGATGTATGCGGCAATGTCCTTCTCTATGTTGTATTTCTCCATGGCCTGTGTGGCACAGTCCACTGCATCCTGCTGCATGTCTTCAGACATGTCAGCGTTCTTGATCACAGCCTTCCTGTCGGTCATGGTGCCTGAAAACGTAGAAACGAACAAAGATCAGTCTCCACTAAGAGTCAAACAGTGGGGCCATTCATGGGTGCTTCTTCCCTGACAATGCCAGGCAAACTCCTGACAGAATGCCACCAACTGAGAGGATCTGATTTGTTAAGACAATTCAAATGATACTAGATACTTTCATGAGAACTAAGCAGGTCTTTCAGTTCAGCACTAGCATTTGAAGCTAGTCAATAAAGGCCATATTTGCATACCATTAATGCTGGACCCAGAAAACCAACTCAAACGGTTCTCAAATGACACGTTTTGGTATAAAAGTACTTCTTTAACTAGCAAAACCAAATTCTGGGATAGATATAGTCCAAATGCACAGAAAGCACATTTGCAACTAATCAAAAGGCCATAACTGCATATAGGCTCAGAGAACCTAATCAAATAGTGGTTAAATCCAGTATAGAAGTACTTTTGTTAACTAGCAAACCCAATACTGGGATACAGATGGTCCAAATGCATACATAGACAGCACTATCATTTGCAGCTAGTCAACAGATCATGTTTGCATACTGTTAATGCTGAGCCCATAAAACCAAGTGTCAAATTACAATTTTTATTTTTATAAAGTAAAAAATCTAAACTAAAAGTACTTCAAACAAGTTAACTAGCAACACGGTCCATGGAGATTGCACAACGTAAATGTGTTTGCTGCACAAATGCAAACACTGACAGCACTGCCATATACAGGTACTCGATAAAGGCCATATACGCATACTACTAAAGCTAGGCCCATAAAATCAAGCCAAAATATCATTTTTTGCCATTAAATCCAGTATAAATGTACTTCAGTTCAGCTAAGTTAGTTCATATTTGCATTATATTATTCCTGACAAGAAAACCAAGGCAAATTGGGCTAAAATGACATGTAAAATCCAGTACTTTCAACTAGTCAACCAGCAATATTAATATTTGGGATTCATATGGTCCAAATGCACAAGGCAAACTAGTATAGAAAACTACTAACTAATAGATCATACACAGCGGATATCAGCACTTCACACCACATTGATTTAGCAGGTGAACTCAATTATATGGTGGCAGTCAACGGATTCGCTGCTTCAGGTCTGGATTCATCGAGCAAGTCATCGCCAGGTCAGGATGGAGGAATGCTACGCCACACCTCCTCCATTCACAGCGTGCAACTCAACGACACTCAGGTGCACGCGGCGTTCTCACTGTAGCGTCCGAATTTCAAAGTCAAATACACGCTTTGCTTTACTGAAGCGATAGAAATAAACAAAAATCGCCATTTATATATCTAAAACGAAAGCATCAGGCTCGAAATGCATGCAAAATCATTCTTGTAGATCACCCGAAATGGCAAACTATTCAACTCACCTGTCAGCAATATTTGGCAAGTGACAACAGTCGTTTCGGATACCCCTTCGACGCTATGAGAGGACCATACGGATCAAGTCAAACGCCGACTGGTGCCCGCGCTAAAATCCCTGGCTCTCCACAATGCCGTCCTACACAGCGCTCGCCATTGGCTGCAGACCAGCCGCTCCCTGCGCCCCTCTGCCAGCATCTTATTTCATCCCACAATGCATCTTTATCCGGAGACCGGAGGGAAATGTGCTTGTTTGGTTCTAAGCATCAGGACTGTGTGGGCCAGAACATAGCTTAAATTAGACTCGGTGGACCTTCGCAATGAAAACACTTCACTTATTGCAAGGTTAGAGGTATTAATCTGTTGTTCCTCTCATGCTCGGTCCCACGCAGTGTAATGCGACTAGAAATGTAATGATTCTGGCTACAATTCCGGTTCATCAACGAGTTTCTTAGAATTGTATAGAAATATATGGACAAATGCAATTAATTCGACTTAACTGTCTGCTATCAAATTATGAGATTATTTCAGGTTTCAGCAGAATTAGAATGCAGGCATATATTATTTAACACAACAATGTCCGATTCCTCACTGTTGGTTTCGATTCTTGTTTTTTTTCGATTGAAGGAACCTATAATCTCACCATGACTGCAGGATAAAGGTCGTAGAAAGTTTCCTTCTCATAATATGAAGCTTTATTTGTAAAAAATGACGATAGATAAATGTTGTCTGCTTTGCCCGTGACATTAGTCATAGCCCGCAGCTCAGCAGGACATGCGTTTGTCGCATTAATTGAACAAGACATGAAAAGTGTCTCAAATAAATGTGCACAGTTCAGCTGAATGATGAAGTGTACTTTGACTGTAGGCCTATGCTTTGCACAAAATGAACAAACTGTGTACACTGAAACAAAATAACCAGAACATTAACAATAACTGAGAGAGCTCGTGGTTTATCTGTCAATCAGGTGCGCTCGCGGCCACTGATCTATGCTCGGGACGTTTTCTTTTATAAGTATCATTGGCTGATAGAAATGTAAAAAAAAAAAAATAGTATTTTAGATGGAATAGATCCAGACCCTCGATCACGGCATGATCTGTTGTGTCATGCAGCGCTCTAAATTGTGGACAAGCAAGTTCCACCGAAAAATAACCTCTGAATCGTTTTTTTGAACTGGTTCATTAAAGCTATCTATCCGATTCAGGAAACTAATCCGAATTCTACTCGCTTTTAGCGAGCATGAGGGAGGCGAACGGTGCTTCTCAAACGGAAGGCTGCATAAAATTCAGATGATCAGTACGGACTCGTTTGCTTTCAGTTTATTTTCGTGAAATTAAATGTGTGCAGCCTTCCGTTTGAGAGGCACCTATAGATAAGCTTTGTTGAACTGAAAAATGCCCTGAATGAGGAGTCGATTCCCCTTGATTCCCAACGCCTCGGAATCGATTCCCAGCCCTAGCAAAAGGTGCGTTTACATCATTTTAAAGGCGGCATAAATGCTATCCAAAAATTAATAATACTCAAATTGCTGTCGTTTATAAATTACCACTCATTACTATGAAACTCAGAAATGTGTATCTTTACAAGTTATCGTGACAACCAGTCTATTTCTCACAACATAAGTTTTAGTTGATTTCAATGGACTTGGCTAAATACTGTCCCTGTGTTCCCTATGCCCTAATCCCTTCAAAGGGTTTACCCTCCGGAGTGAGAGCTTCCAAACTAAACTGTTTCTTGAAGTGCCCTTCTGCGTCGTCATCACAATCAAATGATCATGCAAGAAATCCTTCATTCGGAAGGGCCCTTAAAGTGGCCAGTTTGAGCACTTTGGTTTGGAACGACCCTTCAATATGGCGCCCATGATTGTTTTCACTCCGAAGTGCCCTTCGTAGGGCGATATATCCCGTTTGGAACGCACCGTTCATTGTAGTTAAGTAAATGATTCAGATTCATTCTCAAAAAGAACCGGTTCAAACGAGTCATTCTTCTGAGAGTCGGGAATACACTGATTTGTAGCGTTGTATTTTTTTCCATTTACTATAAAGAACCGACTTATCTACTGCAATAAACGTATTTTCCCTAACCAATTCTTCGTAATATAATTATCCTAACAGTAGACGGTTTTCAGTTACTAACCAACACTACTAAGCGCATTAATATAGAATTCAACTTTTGGGCGGAATCCAAAATTAAAGGGACAGCTAACTTTTTTTATAATAGCAGTAGTCCTGTAGCTCTCATAACTGAGCATGGTGTTAATAAAGCAATGTGTTCGATTACCAGATGATGTATCAACTAATAAAATGTGTACCTTATGTACAATATAAATTAATAAACACAAATAGCTGTCATCATTTACTCAACCTTCACATCTTTCCAAAACTGCACAACTTACTTTCTTCTGTAGAACACACATTTTGAGATTTTGAAAAATGTGCACATTTGTGCAACATTGTATGGACAAAACCCGTTGAAACATTCAACATATTTTGTTCCAAAGTCAAACAAGCTTGACACGCTATGACCAAGTAAGTAATTTTAAATTGCAGAACTGTACCCTATAAGAGTCATAATTTCACAATATTCAACAATTCAAAAGCATTAAAAAAAAAAAAGCAAAGGAACACTTCTTTTGTACCAATGAAACCTTTATTTAGGCAAAAACGGTTCACTAAAAAGAAAAATGCTAGCAATGTCAAAGCATCTACCGTCCACATTGGGACAGTGTAAAGCTAAAAATGCCTGAGTAAACCCCTCCCCATCCCAAATGCACTTTGTTTACCATACTGTTCCTGTCGATTCCATCCCCAAAGACTGCTCCAGCATCTGCTCCGCCAATGTGTTAAAAAAAGAGAAGGGCCAAAATGTCTACATTTTCCACTGAGGTATAGAGAAAATAAAGGGGGTAGGGAAGTACTTTTGAATTGCGGCCTTAAAAATCCTATGATCCTGGGAGCAATTGATCCTGTTCCATGTATCCAGCATTCCCTATCCTATCTTCATTATGTACTGATCCCAGTGATCCGGCATCCACTGAGCCTCTCCTCCAATCCAAACCTTAAGATACCAGCAAAATCAAAACAAAGGAGGCAAAGAGTTAGAATCAAATCCACTCAAACCTGCCTTCTTTGATGCATGCATACAGCATTAAGGCCAAGACAGACTATCAAAACTAATAACCTAACACTAAGACTGAATCAAACATGAAAGCTGCAATCTGTCTTTGGACACAAAAACCCAACTAGACGTTTGACCAGTACATCTTTACAATGCAACTAAAGATACCACCTCATTTGAAAGTGATCTAAAAGTGGTTCAGTTACTCAAATCATTCCCTAAGGGCCAACAAGTCTCTTTTTTGATGCAATAGAGGTTTGTTCTAGAGTTCAAATTCACCCCTTTTACGCAACATCAGATTTAGCAATCCTTTATTACAAAGCATCAGTTCTGTGACACTTATAGAGGAAGACAGCATAAAACAATTGAGAAACCCACTATCCCATGAATAACTTTCATACATGGCATTTACAAAAATATTGGGAGCCATAACATAACCCTTTGTTTGGTCTATGAAAAAGACTTTGTATTTAAAAAAAAAAAATTTATGGGGAAAAGAAATCAAAGAAGTTGGTAAAAAAAAAAAAGCATGTTTAAAAACTAATGCAGGGAGAGAGAAAAAAATTAAAAAAAAGAACAGAAAGACATTCATAAGATGATCATTGTCTCATGAAACAAGAAAGGTGGAATTAAAACATGGGGTTTGTGTAAAGACTGTAAAAACAAATGGTTCAAGGGCTCCGAGGGCATGTTTAGGAGCGAGAGCGGGAACGGCTATGGCGCGGGGAGTACTGCGGGGATCCTCGGCTACGGCGAGGGGAGTAGCTTCGGCTACGGTTGTTGCTGCGGCTGCGACTCCTGCTGCGACTGCGGCTCCTTGATCTTGATCTTCCATAGCTCGGACTGCGGGGACCGTCCACCCTCACACGGATGTACGCGGTTTCGCCCTGGCAGAGACAGAACTTTCCATTGAGCAAGTGTAGTTAATATTGTCACTATACTTACCAGACTTCCTGCAATGAAACATTGCTCTTTGGTTGTACACTAGTATTCAACCAGTATTTTCTATTATTCAACCTGACTACACAAGACTTCCAGTTTGACAAGGTTTAGCTTTGGTATTCACAAGGAAGGGTCAGCCAATACTGGATTTTGACAATATAATTAATTAGCCGGTAACTGGTAAAAAAAAAATGCTGAACTGTTACAAAATTAAGTGGCTAATGTTCAGTAATTATAAAAATACAATTTAAATTTTGTCATGAAATAAAGTACAAGAAAGGGAGAGAGATTTATTTTTCCTTTAAGCTGCCATGTACAATATGAATATACTATTTTTTTACTTTATTCTTACCTTTTTGCACTAAAATGTTTTCTTTAGCACAAAGAAAAAGTTTGTATAACATGCATGCATGTATACAGCTACCGCTTTCTTACAAAGCAGGCGATTAGACAAGTTAAAAATCTGGGCAGCATTTCCACAATAACAAGGTTAATATTAAAAAGAAATACATTAACAATACCTACTTAACATATGACAGCAGAGAAACTGATTTCTCACAGTAATTCATAGTTCCAAGATGCAGCTATTGATGCCAATTAATTGGCTAAATTGCTACGTCAAAATAGTTTCACTAAAACAAATTCACTTAAAACATAGAACCTCTTAGCACAACATTAGGATTTGCTTACCTTAGGAATATTCCAATGCTAAGCATATCCAAAAATCCAGATTAAAATCTCAAACCTACCTCGTGAGACCGGAATTTTGTGTTATCCAGTTTGCGAACGGCGTAGGTCATGTCTTCTTTGCGAACAAACTCCACCACACCAGTTCCATCTCGGAAAGTATCAGCGTAACATACATCACCTGCTTCACGCATGTGATCCTTCAGATCCTGCCAGCTCCCGCTCGGTGGAAGCCCTGGAATCAAATCCAACAAATCAATACAACAAAGATTCTTCAATTAGCTAAATCTGTGATGCTAACGTACCTGATACGATTACTCTATTCTCTGAACGTCTGGAGGGGGGTCCATATCTACCCCTAGGAGCCCCACCACCACCGCCTCCACCTCCTCCTCCTCCTCCACCACCACCACCGCCGCCACCGCCGCCAAAACC